GATAAAGTGCTCAACATCCCTAGCCATTAAGAAAATGCAAATCAAAACAATTCTGAGATATCATCTTACTCCTGTCAGAATGGCTAAAATAAAAAATTCCAATGACAGTTGCTGGAGAGGATGTGGAGAAAGGGGAACACTCCTTCACTGCTGGTGGGAGTGCCAACTCATACAGCCACTTTGGAAATCAGTTTGGAGATTCCTCAGGAAAATGGGAATCAGTGTACCACAGGACCCAGCAATTTCACTCTTAGGCATATACCCAAAAGATGAAAATTTATACAACAAGGACATCTGTTCCACTAAGTTCATAGCAGCATAATTTGTAATAGCCAGACCCTGGAAGCAACCTAGATGCCCCTCAACCGAAGAGTGGATAGAGACAATGTGGTACATTTACACAATGGAGTACTATTCAGCAGAAAAAAATGGAATCTTGAAATTTGAAGACAAATGGATGGCACTAGAAGAAACCATCCTGAGTGACGTAACCCAGTCACAAAAACAGAAACATGGTATGTACTCACTTATATATGGATTTTAGACATGAATCAGGGGAGTGCCAGCACACAATCCCACTGCCAGAGAGTCTGGAAAACAGAACTTTCATCCAGCGACTGATGGAAGCAGAGGCAGACACCCACAGCTAAACACTGAACTGAACTCCTAGAATCCAGTCACAGAAAGGGAGAACTGATGAGCAAAGGAGTTAAGACTAAGCTGATTTAACCCACAGAAAACAGTTGACCTGAAAAAGGGGTGCTCTTGGACCCCAGATTTATGGCTATGTGGAAAGGATGGGACTGACCCAGACCTCCTGAATGTGGGTATCAGTGAGGAGGCCTAGGTAATCTATGGGGCCTTGGGTAGTATTGATCCCTGGCATTCACATAGACTTTGAGTGCCCATCCCACAATGAGGGATGCTATCTCACCCTGGACTCTTGTGTGAGGGCTTAGGTCCTTCCCTGGTTGAAATGACAGACTCTGGAGATCCACCATGAAGGGTCTCACTCTCCCCTGGTGAGGAGGGCTCACGCTGGAGCAGAGGGAGAGGGAGTTGGCATTGACATTTGAAACAAGCTTTTTTCTAACTTAAATAGAAAAAAGCAAGAGAAAAGAAAAATATATTGGTCATGTTATATCTTTGAGTCTCATAAGAAATTTGAACATTGGGTTCATGAGACGTATTGGGACTAAATACAATGGAGTTGTTTTTTTCTTTTTCTCCATTGCAATGAATACATTTGGCATCAAAAGGTGACCATAAAATCTAAGAAAAGCAGGATGGAATGTTATGATTTTAATATGAGCTATCCCCATAGGCTCATGTGTCTGATCACTGACCACCACCTTGTGGCTTGAGAAGGTTGTAAGGTGAAGCCTGTAAGGTGAAGAGCTTTGCTGGAGGAAGTGGGTCACTGTGGGAGCAGACTATGATTTTTATAGCCTGGACCCACTTTCTGTTTAACATCTGCTTCCTGACTAGAGACAAAATGTAACCAGCCATTCACCACTCATATTACCATGCCTTCCCCACCATGAGGTATTGTAACCTCTCAAACCGGTAGCCAAAAAAAAAAAACCCACCCCAATCTTCATTAGGTTGTTTCTTGTTAGGCAATTTTTAGAACAATGAGAAAAGAAACGAATACTGTAAAGATAAACAGCACACTTGATGAGGGTATAGGTAACTACTTATTGTGGCAATTACTTACAAGAGAAACCTGGCAACCAAGGTGAACCAGCAGCTTTCTGCTACAGGACTGGAAGCCCAAAAGAGAGCATGAGTCTCTCCTGCACTGCCTTTTTTTTTACCACATCCTTACACACTTCTAGCCACACCCAAAGTGGGCATGGTTAGTGGCACAGTCACCTGATGTCTCTTCCTATAATTCCCCTTTTAGTCTAAGGAAGATATGTAAGCTTAAAACAAAACTAACTTGTGTCAATGAACAACATATCTCAAACATCTATCCCATCTAAACCTAAGTTCCTTCCAATCCCAACCCTAACAGTAACAGGTGTAAACTATTCTGCAATATGAACAGTAGGAAAAGGGGGTATGGAATTCTCACAACTACTTCCTGCTGAAATGGGGTGATGACGATCTCATGGGGACCTGTGGGAAGAAAATGTTAGTGTAACACGAATCTTAAGTAGGTTAGACAGTCTCCGTTTGTCAGGAGATACTTGATTGAAGTTCTTGACTCTAGTACTAGTGTTGATTGAAACTCTTGTCCAAAGCTCTGGCCAGATTGTAGAAGGTGCACTGTATTAGTTCCTTGGTCTGGAGTTGTGTTGAGTGACACAGTTCTAAGCCGGTTTCAGTATGGTACTTGTCAAGTGGAGTTGATAATGTTGGGCAGTTCAAATGCATCAAGTTGAATCATGTGGAGTCGATGAACTGGGGCCCCATTTTCTTTCTGAAGCAGTTGAAGTTTTTTTCTGTAGTCCAGTGTCTTTCTGCAGCAGTTTGTCCTTTTTCATTAGCATTAAGAAAGTTCAATGTTAGTAAAGCATTATGTAATCTGTGTTTGGGGGTCTTTGTTCCCACTGGCTGTTAATCTCATTACCAGTTTATATGCTACCAAAATTGAAAGCTTACCCTCAGCGATTTCTGCCTGGGGTGTGGATTTTTATCTGCAGTAACTGCATTTGGCCAGTAAGCGGAGCAGGCATACCACCAAGCACAGTTCTGTTGTGATTGCTCAGTGTTTCCCAGTGGAATCTGACAAATATCCTAAACAGCTCTTTTGCCAAAATCTAGTGAGCAGGAAGTTGTTCAAAGGAAGGGAAAAGAGCCTTGCATATATTTCAGGTAACCGCTGAGAGGAATGGGCTGAGCATAGCAGGCCGCCAGTAAATGAGCATGTGGCTGCGAGATAAATCTCAGGAGACCGAGGGACTTTACCACCAGGCAAATGCAGCGGCCTCTAAGGTGCTTATTCCAGTTGTGAGAAGCAGCAGTGGTGGTGGGAATCATGCCTTGTTGAGCAAAGTGGTGGGGAACCGTCTGGTTGATGGATGCAGCTCAGTGATAGGAAAGCCCACGTCTCTGCCTGGAGCTAGCTGAGGAGGAGCAGCAGCTCCAACGGCATCTGGAGCTAGGTTCCAAAACTCTCCTGGCACCAAACTGTAAAGATAAATGGCAAGCTTGATGAGGGTATAGGTAACTATTTATTGTGGCAATTACTTATGAGAGAAAACTGGCAACCAAGGTGAGTCAGCAGCTTTCCGCTACAGGACCAGAAGCCTGAAAGAGCGTGCATCTCTCCTGCACCGCCTTTTATCACTACATCTGTACAAGCATCTACCCATGCCCATAATGTGTGTGGTTAGTGGTGTGGTCATCTAATATCTCTTCCTACAGAATACAGTTGCGTTTTAATTTTTATTCTATCCTAGGAATTTTTCTTTATTTTCTTCTAGATTTATGCAGTACTCCATTTTTTTCATTCAAGAATATATTATTTAATCTCCATGGGTTTGTGTATTTTTCCCATGCTTTCTCTTAATAATGGTTAATTTCATTTTTTATGTAATATATTTTTATTTAACTTAGAAACAAGCTTGATTCACATGTCAATCTCAGCTCTCTCTCTCTCTCCTCTCCTTCCCCACCCACCAACTCCCCCAACCAGCTCCCAACATAAGCTGTCATCAATGTTTTTGATCTCAGCCATTCTGACAGGTGTAAGATGGTATCTCTGAGTCATTTTGATTTGTATTTCTCTGATGACTAATGATGTTGAGCAATTCCATAAATTGCTATTCGAAGTGGGACCTCATATAACTACACACTTTCTGAAGGCAATGGACATTGACAATAAGACAAAATGGCAGTCATCAGAAATGGGCAAAAATCTTCACTAACAGATGGCTGATCTCCAAAATAAAGCAAGAAACTAGATATCAAAATACAAAATAATCCAATTAAAATTGGGTACTGATCTAAACAGAGAATTCTCAACAGGAGAATCTCATATGTTCAAGATAAAAACTTAAAAAATTTTTCAACGTTTGCATTATAAAAATATAGAAACATAAATGCTTCTATCTCACCTTCTGGCCTTTATTTTTTGAATCCAAAAGAATCATCAGATTCTTTAGAGGAAGCCTAAAATGTATCTAGTAGCCAATGTTAGGCCACATCATGAAGAAGTCTTTGTTAAACCTTAATCAGAATCTAAATAATGTTCTAGCACTAAGGGCACTCCGGACCCAAGAAGTAATTGAAAATATTTGCTGAAACCTTTTAGAATATTTGTCAGAGTACACCATCTAGGATTACTTGGTTTATGTATTTTTCCCCATCTATTGGTTTGGAACTGGAGTTGACTTTCATAAGATAGGTAAAAGAAAATAGGTGACTATTTCTTAGGACCTTCAAGGGACTTAAGTTATTCTTGATATCAAAATGAAAACTGGGAGAAGTAAAAGAAAAATGTCTATGAGCTGTCTTTCCAGTATACCCTACCAAAACTCACTGACTGAGTCTCCAATGCAGAGAGAAAACTGGCCATCGCCATCTACCAGAGACAAAAAGGAAGAAGCACATAGGGCTGGAAGAGACTTCACAGACAGCTCCTGCTTTGACTAGGGACTTTGTAAATGTCCTGAAAGCTAAGGCAGTAACAACTGAAGAATAATTGTAATTGATAAATAATGGCAATTTTTTCTTTCAAAACTATTTTATTTTTTAACAAAATAAAACAATGAAAAAACAAAGCTATCATGTTGAAGTTAGACAAGACAAACCAACAGAAGGAAAAGAATCCAAAAAAAGGCTCTAGGATCAGAAACCCACACACAGGTGTCCCATAAAAATACTAAACTGAAGTGGGGTGCTGGTGGCGCACATCTTTAATCCCAGCACTCAGGAGGTAGAGACAGGTGGATCTCTGAGTTTGAGACCAGCTTGGTCTGCAAAGCCACACAAAGAAACCCTGTCTCAAAAACTAAATATTAAACGGAAACTTGTCATATATATGCAGAAGACCTGGGGCAGACCAATATAAGCTCTGTGCTTGCTGCTTCAGTCTCTAAGTTCATATGAGTTTTACTCAGTTAATTTAGAGAGCCTTGTTCTCCTGGTGTCTTCCATCCCCTCCATTTCTCTTACACTTTTTCCATCTCCTCTTGCATTGAAGTTCTCTGAGTTCTAAGGGGATGGATTTGATGGAGACATCCAATTTAAAGGCTTCTGTTTCAAGGTCTGTTTCTCTGTATTTGCTTGAATTTCCTGTAAGAGAAAACTTCTCTGATGGTGGCTGAATAAGGGACTGATCTATAAGTATAGCACAATATCATGAGGAATCATTTTGTTTCTTTTTAGATCAATAGTATTTGGTCTTACCTTATGTTTCTGAGCTGTCTGGTCTCTGGTTTTGGTCACCCAAGCAGTGTCAGGTATTGGTTCCAATTTTTGGATTAGGCCTTAAATCAAATCAGAAATTGGTTGGCTACTTCTACAAGCTTTGTGTCAATTAACAGTTAATTGTTAAATGCCAAAAATTGAGTTTTTAAAAAAGATGTCATCCTTCCCTCTCCCCCCCCAACCTTATAAGCTATACAATGGAAATTTATGGCTTTTTGATTGAAGCAGTTAGACTATACTTCAAAACTCAGCTATATGTGAGCTCTAAAAATCCTACTCCCATTGGTGCAGATACAGCCATATAATGAGAAAGTCAATGGACTCATGATTATCTGGACCTCTAGAAGACAATGAAATAAAACAACAAGGCAGAAACAGTTTTCTCCTCATCACAGAATCAACTCTTCTCCAGGGAAGCAATTTCCTTAACAAAAAGCGGAAAGTGAAAAAAACCAGGCACACAAAATGAACTTGAAAAAGCACAATCCCTCAGCAACAAAAAGGCAGAATCTTCAGAATCAGAAGAGAAAGGTTAATAGTATTTACAACTGACATACAGTGGATAAAGTAGAAATTTACTCCATGGTCTTTCTTTTTTATGTTTTTTTCTCTTTCTTTTATTTAACTTTTTACACATGTTACTCTCAGTTCCCTCTCTCTCCTCACCTCCCCCAAACTCCCATTCCTCCCAAGCCCCACCCCACTCCATTATCCCTCCACTCTCCAGGGAGGCTAAGGGCTTCCATGAGGGATTTTCAGAGTGTGTAATATCATCCCAGGCAAGGCCTAGGTCCACCCCCATGTGTCCAGGTATAGAGAGAGCATCCTTCCATGTGAAATGAGCTCCCAGAGTCTATTTGTATGTCAGATCCCACAGATTGCCGAGGCCTCTTCTCTGACACCCTGGTTGTGGGGGCATGTCTGGATCAGTCCCATGCTGGTCTCTCTGTCATCAATCTGGGGTCCATGTGTTCCCCTTGTTTAGGTCAGCTGCCTCTGTGGGTTTCTCTTGTCAGATCTTGATTCATTTGCTCATCACTCCTCTTTGTAACTGGGTTCCAGGAGTTCAGTTTGTTTTTTAGCTGTGGGTGTCTGCCTCTGCTTCTGTCAGCCCCTGGATAAGGGTTCTAGGATGGCATATAAATATCAATCTTATTATCATGGGAGGGCATTTAAGGTAGCCTTAATGCCTGTTGGTGTCATTCTTGTAGATCTGTGACGATCTCACTAGTGCCAGATCTCTTCTCCAACTTATAATGGCTCCCTCTATTATGGATCTCTCATCCTTCTCTCCTCTATTCTTACCCTAGATCAATCTTCCTGCTCTCCCATGTCATCCTCTCCCCTCCTCTGTTGCCCCTCTCTTTCTCCCATCTCCTGCTGCCCTCCCCTCTCCCCCTACACCACTCCCAATCCAATTAGGAGATCTCATCTCATAAACCTTCTCCAGGTTACCATGCATATCTCTCTTAGGGTCCTCTCTGCTTCCCAGACTCTCTAGTGGTAGGATTGTGTCAAGGTCCTCTGGCCATCAACCAGATACAGCTGCCTCACGTACTCATAACAGAAGACATGATTCAACCCTCATAGAGAGTACGTGACTCTGGACCACCCTGCTACCTGCCCAATTCCAGAAACAGACCTGAGGCTTATCTGCCTAGTCACTAGGGCATAAGCTTAAACAATAGAAGGTGGAATGTGAAAGATAAAGTTAGAATCTGCAGTTATGTTACCAAAGGATACAGGATGACCTACACATCCCACTGACCTTTGCTCCACCAGGCTCACTGCAGCTACAGCACCCCCCCCATTCCTTCCCCTTCTCCCTTCCCCTATATAAATTCCTTGATCAGAATCTTGTCTTGGCATCCATTCTTATATCCGCTGTCCCCCATCTTTCTCCTAAGTGTCTACCAGACCCATGTTGAGTGTCCTGCAGGTTGAGACTGGATTGTAGGCTGACAATGCCCTGCTCCATGTCTAAAATCCATATATGAGTGAGTACATACCAAGTGTTTCTTTTTGTGACTGGGTTACCTCACTTAGGATGATTTCTTCTAGTGGCATCCATTTGCCTGAAAATTTCAAGATTCCATTTTGTTTCCTGCTAAGTAGTACTCCGTTGTGTAAATGTACCACATTTTCTCTGTCCACTCTTCAGTTGAGGGGCATCTATGTTGCTTCCAAGTTCTGGCTATTACAAATAATGCTGCTATGAACATAGTTCAGCAGATGTCCTTATTGTATGAGGGTACATCTTGTGGGTATATGCCTAAGAGTGGAATTGCTGGGTCTTGTGGTAGACTGATTCTCATTTTCCCAAGGAATCTCCATACTGATCTCCAAAGTGGCTGCACAAGTTGGCATACCCACCAGCAGTGGAGGAGGAGTGTTCCTCTTTCTTCACATCCTCTCCAGCATGAACTGTCATTAGTGTTTTTGATTTTAGCCATTCTGATGGGAGTGAGATGGTATCTCAGAGTTGTTTTGATTTGCATTTCCCGATGGCTAAGGATGTTGAGCACTTTCTCAAGTGTCTCTCGGCCATGTTAGACTCCTCTATTGAAAATTCTCTATTTAGTTCTGTAGGCCACCTTTTAATTTGATCCTTTGGTGTTTTGGAGACTTGCTTCTTGAGTTCTTTGTAAATTTTGGATATCAACCCTCTGTCAGATGTGGGATTAGTGAATATTTTTCCAATTCTGTGGAATTACAGACCAATCTCCCTCATGAACATTGATGCAAAACTACTCAATTAAATACTTCAAATTGAATGCAAGAACACATCAGCAAAATCATATACCATGATCAAATAGGCTTCATCCCAGGGATTCAGGGATGGTTCAACATATGAAAATCCATCAATGTAACCCACCATATAAACAATCTGAAAAACTAAAACCACATGATCATCTCACTAGATGCTAAAAAAGCCCTTGATAAAATCCAACACCCCTTCATGATAAAGGTCTTAGAGATATCTGGGATAACAGGAACATACCTAAACATAGTAAAAGCAATATACAGCAAACCGACAGCCAACATGAAACTAAATAGAGAGAAACTCATTTAAATCAGGAAAAAGACAAGGATGGCCACTCTCTCCATATCTCTTCAATATTGTACTTGAAGTTCTTTCTAGAGCGATAAGACAACAAAAGGAGATCAAGGGGATACAAAGTGGAAAGGAAGAAGTCAAATTTTCACTATTTGCAGATGATATGATAGTTTACATAAGTGAACCAAAGAACTCTATCAGGGAACTCTTACATCTGATAAACACCTTCAGCAAAGTAACAGGATACAAAATTCAGTAGTCCTACTATATACAGGTGATAAATGGATTGAGCAAGAAATCAGAGAAACATCACCCTTAACAATGTCCACAAACAACATAAAATATCTTGGGGTAACTCTAACCAAACAGGTGAAAGACCTGTATAACAAGAACTTTGAGTCTTTAAAGAATGAAATTAAAGAAGATACCGGAAAATGGAAAGATATCCTGTGTTCTTGGATAGGTAGGATCAACATACTAAAAATGTCTATCTTACCAAAAGTAATCTACAGATTCAATGCAATGCCTATCAAAATACCAGCACATTTTTTCCACAGACCTTGAAAGGAAAATCCTCAACTTTATATGGAAAAACAAAAGACCCAGGATAGCCAAAACAACTCTGCACAATAAAGGAACTTCAGGAGGCATCACTATGCCTGACTTCAAGTTTTATTACAGAGCTATAGTCATGAAAACAGCTTGGTATTGGCACAAAACAGACAGGTAGACCAATGGGATCTAATTGAAGACCCTAATATCAACCCACACACCTTTGGACACTTGACCTTTGACAAAGAAGCTAAAACTATACAATGGAAAAAGGAAAGCATCTTCAACAAATGGTGCTGGAGTAATTGGATGCTGGCATGCAAAAGACAGCTGATAGATTCATATCTATCACCATGAACAAAACTTAAGTCCAAATGGATCAAAGATCTCAATATCAATCCAGCCACACTGAACCCCTTAGAAGAGGAAGTGGGAAGTACCCTTGAAAGAATTGGTACAGGAGACTGCTTCCTGAACATATCACCAGTAACATAGACACTGAAATTGACAATAAATTGGACCTCCTGAAACTCTGTGGTCTTTCAAGCCCCAAATGTGTAATGTAATAATCAGGAAATTATGCTTGATGAATATATATCCATTTCTTGTAAAAATTTGCAAGACCACAAAAATATTCTTGTGGTGTGAGTGTTTATTGTCCCTTAAAATCCACCTGCTGAAGACTTGGGTTTTAATTTCTTGTGATATGATGAGACTGCTGAACATTTAGGAGGCCCAGTGAGAGAAAGTGAGGTCATTGCATATGGCCTTGAAAGGGTTATTGAGTGAGTCTTCTGGCTTCATCTCTTCTCTCTCTGTTCCCTGCCTACCATATAAGAAACTTTCTTAAGCTATTAATTTATCCATTTTACATTACATCATGACCACACTAAGGCAAAATTGGTTAGCTGACTATGGATTGGAAACAAAATTAACTTTGTTTTTCTTTGGTGCATTTTTTATTTTTAAGATTTATTTTCATGTGCACATATGTGTCTGTGTTTGGGTATGTGCACATGAGTGCAGGTCTCCGTCGAGGACAGAAGGTTGAGGAACCCTGGAACTAGAGTTGTAGATATTTGTTAGCCTTCTGACATGGGTGCTGGGAACTTAAATCAGGTCTTCTGGAAGAGCCATAGGTGTTCTTAACCACTTAGCAATTCCTTAATCCCCTTCATGAATTGCTTTGCTTTGTTTTCTGTTTTTAGGTAATTTTCTGAGTGATAGAAATGTGACTTTCTTTCTAAGGAATGTCTGATAGCTAGTTGTTGTCAATAGGAGTCAAAATAACATGTTGACTTGATATGAAGTGGTTTCAAAGAAGAGATTGTGGGGGAGAAGAATATTAGGCACAAACTATTGACATCCATAAGTGCAGACTTCAGAACAAAACACTGCCTCCATATACTACATATTTTAGTGTGATTAATAAGATGTTACTATCAGGGA